CCCCAAAACCCCAAAACCCCAAAACCCCATGATAGCTCAATGGCATTGGCATTGTAAGATTAATTATTTATTCTATTTCTCTTCTCTTCTTGAAAATTTGTACAAGATTTCATTGGGTTTTCCATGTTTTTTTATTTTCCCATCGTCCATAACAAGGATTTGGTCTGAATCGCTGATTGTAGCGATTCTGTGGGCGATTGTTAGTACTGTGCAGTCTTTAAACTTCTCTCTGATTGCTCTCTGGATCAGTGAGTCTGTCTCGATGTCTACATTGGCTGTTGCTTCGTCCAGCACTAAGATCTTGGTGTTACGAAGAATGGCTCTTGCTAAGCAGATCAGTTGCTTCTGTCCAACAGAGAATATATTCTGGTCTGTGACTTCAGTAGCTAGTCCATCATTCAAGCTTTGAACATAATTTTTGAGTTGGACTTCTTCAAGAACTCTCCAGACCTGCTCGTCAGAGTACACTTCGAAGGGATCAAGGTTGGCTCTGATTGTAGACGAAATTAAGAAAGGGGACTGAGGGATAAAAGAAATTGCATTACGAAGGCAATGAATGCCAATGTCTTTTATATCTTCGCCTCCAATAACTATTTGTGAGCCTGGTTCAGTTTCGACTAGTCTAAAGATTGTCTGCACTATTGAACTTTTACCAGCACCAGTTCTTCCAATGATTCCAATTTTCTCTCCATCTTTAACATGATATGTGAGCCCCTTCAAAATTTTGGGTAAATGAGGTTGGTATCTCATATGTACATCACTGAAGAATATATCAGCAGTTTCAGGGAAATCTTTTGGATCATTTTGTTTGGTAAGTTTATCTTCTGACTCCATATTTGCATATTCCATCATTCTCTGAACACATGTAAACATATTCTCAATTTCACCATAAGATCTAATTGCTACTGTTGCATTCACAGCAAATTCAAGGGAGAACTGGACAGTGAGGGCGGCTAGCTTCTTGTCAAAAACATCAAAGAATGCAGTCAATATTGACACCATGAACAAATTTCCAGCAACGAAAAGACAAGCGCACAGATCAATTCTGCTTCCTGACCATCTCAATACAGAAGCGTATGTAAACTTGGCGGTAGCATTCAGGTCTGAATCTTTCATGAATCCCTTAATAAAATAATTTTGCCTCCTATATGCTCTAATGCTTGTGATTCCATCTAGAGCTGACGAATATCTAGTATTCAATGGGCCTTTGCTCATTGCATCAAATCTCTTGGTATCATTTTGAGCAATGATCGTCCATCTACGAATCATATACATTGGAATGAGCACAAGAAGCAAGATAACCAAGTTCCATGGGACGATGATTATAATGAATACTAATAGGATGAAGCACTTAGTAAAAGTGATTAGCAAATAATTAATCATCTTTGGAAGGAATTGATCAGTCATAGCAAGATCTTTTGCAAATCGAGTGAGTATAGTTCCAATCGGGTTACTATCAAATAGTACTATCTTGGCTCTGAGTAACTTCCAAACCATTTTAAAGTGTAATTTATGTGAAGAGCTCAAAGACGTGACTACAACTGCCAGTCCTCTTAGAAAGCTGACAAGAATATACAAGCAGACAGATATAATAAATAGCGAATACCATAGTGATTTATCATCTTGACCATCACTAGTCCATTGGCCAACTGTTAGATTCACCGATATAAAGCAACATGAACTCAAGAGGGAGAAGATGATGCTGAAAATAACTCCAATGATGCCAATCCCATACCTTGAGAAGCTGAAGAATTCACGTAGTTTGACCTTTCCCTTGATCTTTACTTCATTTTGGATGACTCCTTTCTTTGTTCCTTCTATATTGGCTTACCATTTTTACTTGCTTGATGAGAAAGATTTTTCTTTGTTTCATTCAAATCCATCGTCTGACTTGAATTCTTCTTTTCAATTTCTTCATTAGCATCCTCTGTATTCAAACCATTTACATTTGTTGTGTGGATATTTGGAAGATATAATCCCTTGTCTTGTTTGTCATTAACAGACTCTTCTTCATCTGACTCAGAACTTTGATTTCCAGTTTCTCGCTCATCTCCAATAATAGCGTCAACATCTATCATATGATCTGCTTTGCTTTCTTCTTTATGATCTTTGCCTTCATACTTTTTGAGAATAGAGTCGAAGTCAATGCCTTGGTCTCTCAGCTCACTGTATGAGCCTTGATACTTGATGGTATTGCCTTCGATAACACAGATATCTTTTTCATCTTTCAGATGCTGAACTTGATGAGTGACCAAGATTCTGCACTTATCTTTGAGATATCCATTGATACACTTCTGAAATATCTTGGCAGCCACATCAGGATCAACAGCACTTAGCGGGTCATCAAGCAAGTAGATGTCAGCATCTGAGTAGACAGCTCTGGCAAGACTGATCCTTGCCTTTTGTCCTCCACTGATGGTAATCCCTCTCTCACCAATCTCGGTATCAACGCCACTTTGAAAATTGGCAATGTCGTGGTCGAGTCAGCATGCTTCAATGACTTTGTCAAACCTCTCAGAGTCAAACTGGTCTCCCATCAGAATGTTATCTTTGACAGTGCCTGACATGATGAATGGTTCTTGTTCAACATAAGCTTTTGTGCCATTGGTTGAAATGTAACCACCTTTGAGTTTGAGCTCATGCATTCATGAATGTAACAAAGAAGATTTTCCAGAACCAACAGCTCCAACAATACAAATGAGTTGACCATCAGATGCTTCAAGGTTGAGTGAATGTAAGTTTATGTCTTCATGCTCTATGTCTTGATCCTTAGAATCGTCTTTATTGCCAGTTTTTCGAATGTGGAACCCCCAAGTGAATGAAGCGTCTTGCAACCTGATTCTGACTCCTTCAGGAAGAGACTTGTCGTCTTGAGCAGAATCGTAGTTGAACTCATCCATTTCTAAAATTTCTCCAACTCTAAACATGACTGCCATGAAGGTTGCAAAGTTGGATATAGCATTGTAAGAGAAGAAAATCGCTGACAAAGACAAATAGCTTAGTAAGGCAATTGTTGAAAGAGATCTCTCATATGAAAACTCTCTGTCCATTCCCCAATGATATGAAAATATCACAAGTGCGATTGCAAACCCTCCATTCAGAAACACTCCAGATCCAATGGCATTAACGATGTGATTCTTAATAAGCATGCTGAGCTGACTCTTTCTCCACTTGTAAACAAGGTTTTTGAATGGGACCTCCCATGCATATCACTTGATAGTTCTGATCCCATTGATAATATCTGCAATAACTTTCAGACGTTTGTCTGAGTAAACTCCTTCTAAATATTTCCACTTCACAGTTGTCTTTGAAATCAAAGCCTGACTGACAATCATCAGAATGAATAACACAAAACCTAAAGCAGCAGCTTCTCCAAAGTCGATGGCTATCAGAGAGAAAGCTAGGATTGCACTAAAAGGAGCAATGATGATATATGGAGTAAGAGTAACAGCTTTCTCAATTACTTGCAGCTCTCCACAAATAATAGTAATAATCTTTCCTGCAGATGCTTTAGCTAATGCTTTTTGATTGAATTTTAATACCTTTTTGAAAATCAAAGCTGAGATAGACTTCCTCATATTTACTCCAATCTTGCTACAGTAAAATAAGAACTTGTGGCGAATTGATAACGCTCCAAAGGCATTTATAGAAATGATTAAGCTCAGCAAGAACCCAAGCCAGTTCTCTCTATCTGAATCCTGAATCCAGGCAATGTAGAAAGAAATTAAGAAGAGGTTGCCCACTTGAAGCATTTCAGCAGCTATTCCATAAAGGAGTGTTTTGAATACATCCCATTTCAGAGTTTTAATGACCAGCTTGACAATACTCCATCTATAATTAAAATTTCCTTTATTTTTCATTTTATCCATGTTTGATCCCAATATCTCACAGAGATTCTCTGAAGAGTCCTTGTCTGGCATCTGGATACATTGGCTTATTCCTTCAAGTCCCTTATTCTTGTGAGAAAACATGATTAAGTTGGTGACCCAGCTGTAGAACAAATCTATACATATGTTAAACTACTTTTCCTTAAAATAAACATGCAAATCATATGAAGCAGGGTCAAATATGACCCAATTCGTTCTAAATTTGAAATCGAACATTCATATCAGCGAAGAATTTCAAAAGTAAGAATGACCAAGAAAGCTCTTGAGTTATAGCAAAAGCAATGCCGTGTAAATACAATGTAACCAAATGGAGAATAATTTTTTACCTGAGCACCAAGTTGCATTCTTATAATCGTCGTTGAAGTTAGCTTCCTTCTGTTCCTGCGAACTATCCATTTTTAGGTTTAAAATAATTAGATGTTACTATTGGAATCACGAAGTAAGGGGTTTTGGGGTTTTGGGGTTTTGGGGTTTTGGGG